ATTACTCATAAATCAATTCAAAACGTCAAAGATGATGAGAACAATACTTGTACTTAAAACTTGATTTTAGTTTGTGTTGCTGTCAAAATTAACTAAAATGTTTAGAAAAATCTAAAAGTCTTTGTATAACTAGTCAAATGTTAATTTACTTGTAGTTTCTCGATAAAAAAAAATGATAATGCATGTGTTACAAACTTCTCATGATCGTGCTTTTCGTGCATTTTTTGTTGGTCGTTGTGGCTTAGGCGGGTATATCTCATATTTGATGAACTTCTCGACTTCAACCAATGATCGAAACATCCTTCCTGATGATTTGTGATGGTAAAACTACATCACGATAGTTTAGTTGATTATAATCCGTTAGTTTCTCATGAAAAGCTAAAACTAACGAAATAAAGTATTTGTGTATTTAAGAACATAACCAACACATAATAGAAAGTTGCTCGTTTCATCTAGCGTAATGTTGTGTTTCACATGTACTTTACTAAAAAAAAAGGTTGTCTAAAATGTATCTTAACAATACAAAATCGAAAACTTATGTACAAATTATCAGTGTTAAAGTATCTTGTACAAAATGTTAACGAAGAGCTTACTGAAAAAAAAATGTCACATGTTTAAAGAATTAGCAAATAAACCTTTCATTTTATTGTGAAAATTCACCAATAAAATTGTTTTTATTCATATTAAGTAGACTAAACTGCACAAATGGTCCCTATGGTTTGCTCAAAATTGTCACTTTAGTCCAAAAAGGTTTGGACTAGCACCAGAGGTCCAAAGTTTTTATTTTGTTGCTTGTTTGGTCCAATATGTTTTGATTTTTTTTAAATGACTGATTTACCCCTGTTAATATGATTTTTTTTCTTATTTGTTTTTCTAATTTTTAGATTTAAAAAAATAAAAATAAAAATTAAATAAAAAGCTCTCTCTCTCTCTCGTTACATGATTCATCAGAGAAAGAAATGGGGCATCGTCCTCTTTATGAATCACCCATCACCATTATCAGATTTAAGAAATATAATCGAATCCATTTGAATCCCTCTGGACTGATAATCCACCATCATGGTTAGCAACTGATTGAGTTTTCTTGATTTTGATTTTTTGATCAAACCCTAAAATCCCATTATCATCAGAATCAAAGTCGTTAAGGTTTCTCAAGGGGAGAAGACAGATTTTAGCATAAGCCTCATCTATGTCAAGATCTACTGTCACTTTGGAAACTGAAGCACAAGGTCTGTGATGAAGATCTGCAAGCACAAGGTTCATCTCCAATCTGTTTCATCTTCTCCATCAGAAACCATCTCCTTAACTGTAACATCCGAATTTTCAGAGACATTATTGTGTATGTTAATCTTGAGATTTAAGGAGGGACTCGACGAGTTGAGGGACCAACTCTCCGAGTCGAGTCGAGATTGCCGCGTGAATTTAATGAATGGACTCGACGAGTCATAGGAGGGACTCGCCGAGTAGGTGCTGGGCAGAGAAACCCTAATTTCCCGGGTTTGGGACCTATTTAAAGGCATTTATAGCCTCATTTGCGGCTACCTTCCCCTGAGAGCAAACCCTATTTGCTATTGGAGCTAGAGAGTGGGAGAGAAGCTCATATTGTGGTTCTTGGTGCATTTCTATGAAGAAGAATGAAGAGCTTCATGATGGGGAACAAAGGAAGGCAGTGGATTTGTGGTATTGAGTGTTTCAGCTGCTAAGAAAAGGTACAAAGTCATCATCTTGTTCATTCCTTGTACTAGATCTCATTTTGGGAGTTTTAGGGCTTTGCTTCCATCTTTTTGAATCTATGAGTCGAATGAGACCTGGTTGTGGTTGGAAACCTCAGATCTGGACCTCCTAAGGTCCTTAGAGTCTAGATGTCTCAGCTTTAGTGGTCCAAATGAGGGTTGATGAGCAAAAACCTTTATGAAGAGCATGTTTTGGCATTTTGAAGCAATAACATCATGTATGAACGTAAAGATCGAAGCTTTACGTAATTATTGAGCCTTGGGATGATAGATCTATAGTTTAAAGTGATAGATCTGGTTGAAATCGTCTGAATGAGAAATCAGATCAAAGGGACTCGCCGAGTCCATGTCCTGACTCGACGAGTCTGCGAGGGTTTGTCCCGATGGATTGATTGTGCGATAACTCGGCGAGTTGGGGGTCAACTCGACGAGTTGAGCTGGACTTTTGAGACTTCTGAGGATACGAGGGGACTCGACGAGTCACAGGAGTGCACTCGACGAGTCGGGTCAAACTTGGACTGTTGACTCGAGTTTGACTTCTGTTGACTTTGGGGTTTTGGTCAACATATGTGATAGAGACCTTGGAGGGGTAAAATGGTCTTTTACCCACTTTAAAGAGTTAGAAAGAGAAAGAACCGCCTTCGATTATCTGAGTCGTGAAAAGAGTATTAATAAGAGATATTCATCCTTTGTGTTAGGAGGAGGCTAGTTCGAGATCCGAGCGCGAGGTTATTTGCTCACCTGCTAGCCGAGGTGAGTCTTCTCACTATACATTACCTAGAGTGGTATCTATGTGTAGACCGGAGGGTCTTGTGTGCTATGTGTATGTATGAGATTATGTGCATTGTGATATATGTATGCTATGTGTTGTATAGAACGGACCGGAGGGTCCAACGATATAGACCAGACCAGAGGGTCCAACGATATAGACCGGACCGAAGGGTCCAACGATACAGACCGGACCGAAGGGTCCAACGAACTATGACCGGACCAGAGGGTCCAACGAGCTACGGGACTGGAGGGTCCCGCTGAGACACATCGACCGAAGGGTCGTACTGTAGCCTCGAGTGGCGTATGTGTTGTATGTGGTATTTTGGGGAACTCACTAAGCTTTGCGCTTACCGTGTTATGTGTTATGTGTTTCAGGTTTTCTCAGGATCGCGGGACGGCACCGGCTTGATTGTACACACTAGAGAAAGAGTTATGTTTTGAGGATCCTGGATTATTAATGGAATTGTGCTTTGTAATTTGAATAAACGAGGTTTCTATACAATATGTTATGAAAAGTATGCGATTTTAAAAGGAAAAATATGTTTGAAAAATAACGGCGTTACATTAACCCCCATTTTCGACAGAAACCATCGCCAACTTTCGAAACCCTAGCGCCGCCACCTTATCTCATCTGCATTAGGGTTTTCGGAGAAGAAGGGCGACGGCGACATAGGTTTTTCGTCGAAGAAGAAGAAGGATCTGAGATATACGAGACTCGACGGAGAATGAGAGAGAAACATAGGCGGCGTTTGGGGCTCGTGTTTCCAGACGAAGCCACCGTCGAGGTGTGAAGACGACGATGTTTATTGAGGTTTTCAGATCGGACCTACTGAAGGCTGAAGCCACCTTCGACGACGATCAGGTTTTGCACGTCTTCTCCGCCCTAGAGTCGTTCTCCATCACCCTCTTTTCTCTTCTTCTCGTCAGACGACCACCATAGCAAAAGAAGGTGCATCTACGCTGAAACAAGGGTTTCTTGGAGGAAGAAGATGACATCCACAGATGGTTTTACAAAGATTGTTCTTGATTTTGAGGTTACAGATAAGGAAAATGTAATGTTTGAGTTTTTTAGATCTGGAAAAAATATGTTTGGATTCATCAGATAGTGGTGGTAGTTCTTGAGTTTTAATTTGAAATTATAGATTTGGAATTATATGAGTGTTTTGGTATTCTGATATGGAAAAATTATGTTATTATGGTGTTGGTGGTGACCGGAGGTGGCAGCGGCGGTTGTTAGTGACCAACGGTGGTGGTAGCAGTGGTGGTGGTGACTGACAGTGGCGGTGGTGGTGACTGACAGTGGTTGTGGTGGCGATAGCATAACTGGTAGTGGGATGAGAAAGAGTAGGGGGAGGGTGGGGTAGCGATAGGGGGTAATATTTCTTTTTTGTTTTATTTTTAATTACGAAAATTCTAAAATGTTTTTAAATAAATAAAAAACAACTAAAAAATAAAAAGTAAGGGCAAAATCGTCATTAATAAAAAGTTCAAGGCAAACTGGACCAAACTCGCAACAAAATAAAAACTTTGGACCTATGGTGTTAGTCCAAACCTTTTTGGACCAAAGTGGCAATTTTTGAGCAAACCACAGGGACCATTTGTGCAGTTTAGTCTATTAAGTACTTAATCTTCTATTTAGAATTGAATGAGCACATGAAAAAAGATATCTACGCTTTTGTTTAGGAAGATCAAACCTTGTCATGGGTTTTGTCCGGCCGTTTTCTAGTCTCCACTCTCCATCCTTCCAGCCGAATATGTAATGATATAGGACAATTTTGGGTCTCAGCGTCCGAGAGCCTCTTACCAAATCTTGATAGCCGTTGACGACACTGCATAATATATATATATATATATATATATATATATATATATTCTCAACAAATTTTAAAAAACAACAGTCGTTTTTTACATACTACAGACTTTTTTCCACATCTTCTTCTCCAGATGTGGAAAAAAACCACAGATATTTGACATTTTAAAAAATACCTTAATGAAAATATTATTTTTTTACAAGAAAAGAGAGAAGGGAGGGGGGAAATGTTACTTTATCCCTTACGAGAAGGTACTTGACGCATTCACTTGGAAGTTCAAAGTGTCCATCAACATGATGGACGGTCCATGATGTTCTTAGGCCTCTTTTATGCATCCCTTGTTGTGGTTGATCATGTGTTGGATTTTGGACTAACGTTAATATCCCCTATTGTTTGTGGGCAAAATTGTCAATTAGCTATTTCCGGGCAAAATTGTCAATTAGCTATTTGGGAAATTGAATCAAAGTGTAAGAAACAAAAGGAGTAATGTCGTATCTTATAAAAGTTTAGATAGCATTTAATTGAACCATTAACTCACTATCTATATCAACCCGACAACTCATTTGACCTTATCTAAAAAAAATACTAGTTTCATATGAACTCACTTTTATTTGTTACAAAACCAGGTTATTTTGCTATCTCTTACTAATACTTAAAATCCATATATTGATGCTTGTTTTTTTTCTTAATGCAAGTGCATGATGCTTACTTTCTCTATAACTAATATACTCTCTGAAGTCTCCTCCTGCCTCTTGAATGATAATGGGATGTTTGCAAGTGCTTCCTTGTTTATCACATAATCAAATGAGTCAATCATAACAAAAAATCATATGTTATAATACACATACAAATAGACACGCTTACACATATGTACAAACATATAGATACATAATACACATATATAATAATTAAAGTCATTTTAATAGTTAAATATGTAAATAGCTATAAATGCATAGTTACTCATGCATATGTATGAGCACTATAAAAACGATGAAGATATTGTTTTCAAAAGCTGTTATGTCTATGAGTCTATTACAAATGTGTCATTCTTAACCCTATATGCCCGTATTTACAATTTTATGCACTTAATTACAGTTATCTCTAAATAACTTAAAATTAATGATCATGTGGAGTTGATGAAACAATGATGAATTGAAATATAAGTTACCTCAACCATGTTGACATTAGCTTTTAGTCCATGATGACAAATGGTGGAAATTGTAGGAATTGTATTTTCACTAAAAAGTGTATCCTCTTTCTCATAGGATATCCTTGGTGGCTACAACATTAAAGAAAACTATCATTACTTAAATAAATAAAATGCAAAGATCCATATAAAAAAAACTAACATGAGGTATAACCCATAACTATTTCACATGTGGCTGAAGATAGAATTAGCATCTTAAACAATTTAAAAACTGATAAGATGTTAAAAATTCTTACAGACGCATTTAAATCAAGAACATATGAACGTTTCTTCCACGATGTCGCGTTTAACAAGTTTTCATCTGAAAAATATGTCATTTTTTTCAAAATAAGATGTATGTGTATACCATGTTCAAATGGACACACAAATTAACCTATAATTCATAGCTAACAAGTATTTATAATGGTTAATAGTATTGTATATGTACATCATAAAAATTTGTAGAATAATGTCTAATCAATGTAAAGATACATGACCATTTTTGCTCTCATGAATCCTAATATCTTTTGATTTATTTTGTAAAGTTTTCATTGGTTTACAGTAGATATCATATCATTTACCATAATTTGTTGTTTCTTAATGATGATTTTATTATTAACCATATAAAAATATATATATTCCAATCAGGGATTATTATACAAATCCCTCGAACTACACAAAGCATAGCATTACGTGAAAAACTATTACGTGTGAGACTAATCATATTCATGAATTGAATTAATCATTGAAAATGTGCATGCACGAGTATTACTATGTCGAATAAGGGGTTGTTTGATAGTTAATCATTGAATCGAATTTTATTTAGTCAAGGGGTTGTTTGATAGTTGATGATTGAACCAATGTTTTAGAAACCGGTTTGAACCGGGAACGAGAACGGTTCAACAACAACCGGTTTATGTCAATTTCTAAACCGGATCGAACCGGACAGTATCTTAAAAAACCGGGTTGAACCGGTGTGATAGAACTGGTAAAAAACCGTTTGAACCGTTTTATTAGACTTGAATAGTTGGATTTCACTTAATCTATTAAAAAAACAATCCATTTCCAAATAAAATTAGTAAAAAAAACCGTTTGATCAGGTTACCTAGAGTCTACACAACTCAAAGACCTACACATAGAAGTAGATCAACCGGCGGTTGAACCGGTAACCGGTCATCAAACCAGTGCAACTAAAAAACTAGTTTTTAAAACCTTGGGTCTTACGACATCAGACAAGTCAAAGACCAAGTCAGAGAATTCTAAATGTAATATACCGAGTCAGACCCAACAACTTATCAGACTCGGTAAGAAGCATATCAAATAACCGCAACTTTAATTAGTATTCAAAATTCTACGATTACGATTGTGGTCGATTATATTAAGGAACTCATTGTTCATTTTTTCTATGAATAGAATACACATGGAACATGGTATTTAGATTTTATCTAAAAAAAACACTACACTTTTTTGAAATTTTAAAGAAAACTTGACAAATAAAACATTTCTGGTTGCATGTCAATTCAAATCCTGCATCTGCGACACAAACATACACACATACACCACCAACACAGCCCCCTTGCACATATACATTTACATATACCCACCCCCCACCCAACGACTCTTTTCTTTAGTCAAATGTTTCATCAGCATACAAATTGAGTGCACCAATCAACCCTGTATGTGTGTCTGCAACTTGGCTCCATCAATAACCTTCTCTCAAGCCCCTCCTAAACACCTAACCTAATAAAGTACCCATTGAAAACAATTAACTAAGAATCATATAACAGATATTTATAATGTCATAAAACTACAACACTACTCATGTCATGTGATGAGATTCAATGGAATAACGAAGCAGTAAACAAACATTGAGATAAATAATATCGAAATTTGGCAAATATTTATACAACCACTACATAAATAATATATTATGTTGTTTTCATAGTTGATTAAATGATTTTGGGCATAATATATATTTACAATAACTGTACAAATAGATTAAGAGGCGGGTGGATCAAATATTCAAATCCACATAAACAGGATGTCGTACCATGAACATGAAAAATTCATCTTAATTTCCTACCCAATCTGCCACTCCCCTGACCCTGACCCTGACCCTGACCAAAAATAATAAACTGATTATACAACATATAATATCCTAAAATTACTTTATAATAATGTTGAAAACTATATATTTATGAATTAATTTGCCCTCCCACAAGTCATTTGGGTAAATCAATTAATGCGGATAAAATAATCAAAAAAATATAGATGAAGATGATCTAAAAACTCATTGCCAACACTAGAAGCAATAAAGCAAAAGCTAATTCTGAATTTCTGATAGTTTTGAGGTTTTAATTTAAATTTCAAAAAGCAGAAAAAATTATAACAAGAGTGTGGAGAACAGACCTCCAGTAGAGTAGAAGTATAGGTCACATGAAGACTATATTATATATCTCTATAGCATTAGAAAAGCTCCAATTGATGTCTGATGCAACACTTTTGAACTACGATCAAGTCCATGAGAAGCCACCTATCATCAAATCAACAACATGGATGGGATTATTAACAACTTAAAATCATCATTATGAATTATGTCTCAACAAAATGAATTTGTAATCAATCTACCATATGACTCAATGCTGCATAGCGTTCCTCGTTCAAATACAATGGCTTTCCCCTATGCATTTCAACATCCTGCAATCAACCATTATTATTCACACAAAAACTTTATATATAGATTATATTATCCGTTTTTAATTTCTTCTAATGTTTTCTTCCAAAAAAGTAAAAATTTTGAACAATAAAAACTACCTCTTCACCAAATGCATCCAAGTATGGAGATGGCCAACGTGCCTGACGTGCAGATCTTTGAAGTAATATTGTGGTTTTCTACACTCATCAATATCTAATATCAGAACATAATATTATTTAAATAATAAAAAAATTTAATCCAATCAGTGAGACTTACCCTGATTAAAAGAAACACGCCAGTACCAGCACCACAAGACATTGCATGAGTTTGGCACTTGTTATTCCTAAACAGAAACAACATGTGTCAATTGTCAAATATAATTTCATATTCAAACTAAAAAAATTGGGACCCAAGTACATTTTTGGTCCCTGAGTATAGTTGTTTTTTCTCAATTTTGGTCCCAAAAAAATTTCTCTAGTAATTTTGGTCCTTATTTGAGGTTTTGTATAATGACTATATTTTTGGGACCAAAATTGCAAAAATCAGCAATACTCGGGGACCAAAAAAATGTAATTTACTTGGCATTAAATAAAATTAAATATTAAATGAACCTGCAGCATGTCTTCCAGCTTGGTGAGCACAATTTACCACACAACAAGCATAATGCAGGTTCATCTTGAACTGCTCCACAGTCAACACACTTCTGTTTTATGTACCTGAAGATTAAAAAAAAAAAAAAGCCCTAATAAATCAAATAAAGATCAAAATCATAGTTTAATTAAGACATTTTTTTAAAAGAATAGTAAGAACCTTTGTAAGAGATCTTGGTAGAGGTAAGGCAAAACCATCAACTTAAATGGGACAACAGGGGTTTTGTACAAAACCCCTACTTCAAATTCTCTAGCAAAATGATTCAACCATTTTAAAACCAAAGAACGTGACACCTCATCATTAACAATGTTCTCTAATGTTGGAATCTTGAACATCTTCTCCAACTCTTCAATTTCAACAAACTCTTCAGCAAAACCATAAGCAAAATCCATTCTATCATCAAATGATTGTGATGATCTGTGGGCCCCACTAAACGGTGCTAAACTCGAAGAGTTCATTAATTTCCATAACAGTGCACACCTTCTTAAGAATGGAAAGCTCAAGCTACGAATTGTCTCCTTAATATCACGAGAACTATCAATATAATTGGAAACAAAATATTGACGTATCAACACATGTTCACCCATGAATTTGTATATGTCTGTGATGAGAGATTCATGGTAACTGAAATCATCCATAGCAGATTCGTTTTTCCCAAAATATGTTATTACAGCCTGTAAAACAGAATTAACAAAAGAAAACAGATGACTTAAACCAAAGGAGAAATAGATTAAAGAAACTAGAAAGAGTAAAATATAAAGTATATTTATTTGTCTATATTGATAAGAAGGATAAAGAAGGTTTGCAATTTACTCAAAAAGAAGAGAAGTTATATGAACCTGAGTAATGGAGACAACATAGCACATATGAACAAGAGGCAAGAATGATTTCTCAGAGGACATAAATGGGACTGGAAGACAGAAGAGGATCCACATTAAAGTTGAAAAAGGATCAGATGCAAGGACAGGATTGGATGCCATGGTCCAAAACTGTACATCAGGGAATCGTATGCCCATGTCAGCATTTTCCAATATGCTCATCATATTTTCTGAAAACAAAAGAAAACAATATCAACAAAATCAATTTCACAAAAAACATGTAAACTCATTAAAGTAAAAATAATAACATACCTTCAACTCTGTTTGTATGACCAGGTAGTTCATTGAGAGTATCAGCATGTATAGACTTTGCAAACTGTTGAATACATCTTAATCTTAAAAGGACATCAAGAGAATTTTGGGCACGGATGCTGTGGACAATTTTCAGCAACAATGACAAAATGAAGCCACTGGAAGATCTTAATTCCTCATACAATGAACTAATGCTATAATTGGTGGCATGTGAAGTTTTTTCAGATCTTGCAGCAATTTCTGTAGACACAAGGGAATATTTGAGTGTGTCCCACATGATCATGGAGTCACTCAACCGACTTGATCCTGAGATTTTATCATTTCCTGGAAAATACATTTCGTGTAGTAAATGAACCACGGATTCAAGATTCGCGCCTGTTCCTCCTTTGTGTTTTACTGGAAAAGATTTGAGGAATTCGTTCCTTCTAGAAACATCTGCAGAAGCTTGTAAGAGAGATAGGGATTGTTTAAGAAGAAGATGTTCAGATGATTCATAGTTAGAAGCATTCATGGGGGACAGATTTGGAATTTTGGATGATACACTCTCCTTCATTATCGTTCCTTCTCTAGGCAAATCAGGTAGGACAGAATTTGCAAGGCCCCGACAAACAGGACATAAAAACTCCCCCTGGACATCAAAAAACAAAAATATAAGAAAAAAATTATGAATTATTCGCATCAAAATCTACAATGGACTTGAACAAGATGCACCTGATCTGGATCCACAATATGTCCTCCTTCAAAATCAATCCTTCGTGTGTATCTGCAGACAATACATCCCACATCTTAGGTGATCCCAAAATATATATACATAGAACAATGATGTTTTCCTAAAACAGTAATGTATATTTCTGATAAGGGCAAAATAGTCATTTTACGTTGGTCATGGACCAAAACCAAATCACATCGATAGCCCGGCCGGAAACTTTCTTTCAGGGACGAAACTTGCAATTAATTAACCCTTGTTAATTTTATAAAAGATAATGAGAGATAAGGGTAAAATAGTCATTTTACCTTTCCTTCAGCGAGCGTAGATAACGATCAAGGCAACCTTGATGGACAGCATGGCCACAAGAAGTAACATAAATGCCATTACAATCCGAAGGCCCAAATCCATCATATGGCAACCGTGAAGTAACTGAAGCACCTATCTGTGCCTTACCACTAGGGGACCCCACATTTTCTGATGAAGATGATGATGATGATGATGGATTATTTACAACTTCATGAGAGAGAGAAGCAATGTACTTTCCAAGCAAAAGAGATTCATTTGTATCATAACTACTGTATGAACTACTTCCAGGAATCGAAAAATCCACCTCATCAATCAAAACATCTGATTCCCCCACATTATTTTCCATAACATCCAGAATGAATGTGTACATATCTTCTTCAAATGCATCACCCGAAGCTGAAGCTGTGGTTGGTTGACTTTGACTACTATCATGTGCTGTTTGAGGAGGAATATTTATATTGTTCAGAGAAGGGAATCGGGTTTTTATAAACTCCAGAAAAGCATCAACCTCTCTTGGTTGACCAGTGGATGCAAATTCATTAATTGCAGTCTGAATGACTTCCATTAACTGGGAATTTACTGTTTCAGATGATTTAACTGTTAATGTGTCCTCATTGACTTGTTCCTTTCCAGATCTTTGAGCTTCTTTTTCCCATGATGGGGGACCTTTGTCAAGTAAACTCACAAGCCTGGATTTCTTGTATCAGGAAATCAGATATGAGGTCAGTTCATGGTCAAATAGTCAAATAGTCAAATGTAATAATATAAACAACAGTAGATTACCAACCTGGAGAAGAATTAGAAAAGAGACAGGAGTCTTGGAATTTGCATCATGACAAAGAGAGCAGACTACTTGTACATCTGAATCAGTTGCGACATCAGGAAGACTTTCTTCAGGATCATTTGTGTCATCTAAGCCAGTGTCTTCTGTCATATTCTCCATGAACTTTGACTGCTGTGCCTTCATCTTTTCCTGTATGTAACATAACAAAATTTAAAATTTAAAAGGGTAGTAGAAATCTCTTATTTTCTAAAGGCATCTCCAATCCAAAACCATTTGTTACACCAAAATGGTGTTATCAAAATTCGAAGTTAAAAGTTTCCTTCGTACAAATTGGTCTTTCAACTTTAAATTATGCATTTTTAGTTTATTAGTTGTATGATAATATTATATATGTAAATATTTGTTACTAAGTTTTATGTTTCAAACTTATTTAAAAATGTAGTACTTCCTAATAATTTAAAACAAAATACATATTTAAACAAAACACATAACTGAAGCTCATTTCAGTCCACAAAATGCTTTAACTAATTGATCATTTGTGGGGAAACCATTCCAACACATAAATGTGAAATATTTTTTTAAACATATGTCTACTATTTTCAAAATGCATGTGTAACATTTACTTTAATGTGTGTTGAATATATTTATTTCAAAATACAAGTGTAATTATATATTAATAATTTATTTTTGTTATAATTTGTCTAATATTGTAATTTATGAAGTTACTGTAACAAAAAAAATATGGGTGAAATTTGTATAAAGCTAATAAATACAATGTTTTCTTAAATCTAAAAAAGCTGGAAAACTGTAACTGACCATTATCGCAGCTTGTCTCTCACGTGCTTTTGCCTTTCTTTTTTCACTATCAGAAACAGGTGCACTGTTGTTACTCACATCACTAGAATAAGATAACTGATTAACAACTTCAGGCGCCAACATTTGCAGTTTTGTTAAACATCCAGCATCCAGCTCAGCAAACTTCTGAAGAAGATTCTTAATCAAAGAAGAAAGGTCAAACCCACCAGACTCCACATAGTTATAAGCATTTTCCTTTTTATTTATCCTCATTAGCGACACAAGAAGCGACAACAAGCTTTGATCATCATATCCATCATTCAACCCTGTAGATATTTCTTCAGCAGCAAAGACTAAAAGGGGAATAGAATTATCAAAACCACCAGATTGTGACTCGATCTGTGCTTGAGAAATGTCCAAAGCTAGTGACAACAAGTGCAATGCTGTTATAAGAACGCCATCTGGCGCACGCGATGCTATTAATTTATCTGTAAAAAGCGCGTAGAAAAGAACAGATCGGATGATTTGAAGAACTGTTTTACATGTGGCAACTTTAGCTAACCCATTAAGAGGAGCATAGATTTTTGTCCATTTTGGGAGCTGATTCATCAATGCAGACACACTACAAAAACGCAAGTATCTTTCTTCTGCAACTTGCAAGTCTCGTGAGTTCCAACGAGGATGATACAAATCCAACTCTTTCCAGTATTCCAACCGTAATTTGTACATACCCTAACATAAAATGGCATTATCGTAATTTTAGTATATGGAAAGGAATTTAACTTCACATTGATAAAAAAAAAAATACTCATCCCATTACCTGTTTGATTCCAGATGGATATGAGTACTCGGCTACAGTGTCTAAAATTTGTTGAAATTGTTCGACTTTGGAAAGGTCACGCGGAAGGGATTTGACCAGTTGACTATGAGTAGCGTTTCCGGTTGATAGCTTATAGATTAACTCACGTTGTAGACATTGAGCTGTAGTTAATCCACAAAATCGCCTTTCTTTTACTATCTGTATAATAAGATTTAGCATTTCTTGTACCAAAACCGCTTCATACCTGAAAATATCATAGATATTATTGTTACATTACCTATTGTTAGTCTCACTGATTAGATATTAGCTTTGGTGATGACATTAGAAAAAAATACAGACTCTCGATAACCGCGCCGGTCGGTTTAAAAAGGTCTTTCAAGTGTTGCGGTCGGTTTTACCTAGTCAGTTTATAAAGAAGCTTTTGCTGACATGGCACCAAAATCTTTAACATAATTATCATGAACATTATATAAATACATGTTCATTCCTTATGAAACCCTAAAAAAATTGTAATAGCCTTTAGTGTGAGAATTAGTGAGAATTCATCACTTATATGAGCTTTCCTTCTAGATTAGCTTTTTTGTGAATTTTCCATTCAAAATAGAAAATTACTTTCCATATTGATCCTGTTGATTTAGGACAGCATTGAATCTATTCCAATTGTTCATCAACACCTATGCATAACAATAACATGTTCTCCCACACATAGAGAAAGTTTTAGGAAAGATACGTACTCACTAGCTCTTTCCAAATTTAAGGAAAGGTAACTTGAAAGACCAAAACGTTCGATGATTCTAGCAATATAAAGATCTGCAGGGGCTAATGCAGCACAACACTGTAGAAGAAATAGATCAAGTTCTAAACCCTGTTCAGACCTGAAAAGAGAGAAAAGAAGAATGAAAATCAATCTTAGAAGAAGGGTAGGTAAAAAGATGTAATTTGGAAATTTTTGCATACATACCATCGAACAGAACGATACCACTCATAAGATAATATTGCAGCATCCCCGTTTTTTCTCCACATTCCAGCATGAACTTCACTACAGAAAACCCTAATTCGCAAAGGATGTTCCATTACAAAAGCTGAGAATCCATACGGGTGGCAACCACCTAAAACATGACCAAAGAAATCACCATATACAGCTGGCAATCCAGATTCAGATTCAGATTCAGATTCACCATAACACCTCTTTAATGCTCTTTGTAAAACCAATGACAGCAATCGGTGTAATGGAATGTGTACTGATATCTCCTGTGAACTAACATCATATTCAATTTCTGGCCAATCTGATAAACTTAGAACACTAAGTGATTCCAATTCGTTTGTATAATCTCCTTCCATTTGATGATCGCTTAAACCTGCAGAAATGGTGTCATTTGACCCGGTCAAACGTTGATGAACACCACCACCCATAGTTTTACTTGAAGGTGACTTGAAGATAGTTTTTCCCTTTCTAAACTTAGAAAGTGTTCTCTTTAACTGAAAGAAATTACTACCAGAAGCATTGGTTCCTCTCGAATTAAGATCTCCTGATGTATTGTCCACTTTCAACCAGTTTTCAATCGCTCTTAAACACTCAAAAGTCAACCATGAAATTGAAGTCAACACTGTGAAACTATCATTACCCCTTCCACTCCCAGTCACACTAGAAACAGAGCTTTCTTGTGAAAGTCTTCCCACTTTTGCATGTCTTAAACTATCTTGTTCATCAATGACTGATTCATCTTCTGTTTCTTTGTTGGAAAATGCTCCAGCCACTAACAGAGCATGAATATTTGCAATTGAATGACCTAAAACGAAAGGTAAATGCATGTTTTCGTTTTCTTCTTCTATGTGAATATTTGTTTCTCTTTTTTGAGGGCTCATGCCTTGGACAAAAGCTAAAAGTTTCATCCATGTTCTTGAGATATCACGCCTGTCACATGTCATGTATTTTGGAATTGTTGAATGGCTCATGACAAATCGAATGTCTTCAACCACACGATGCGTTGTTTCATATAAGTTTCCCCATTTGGAAACCTGGAAAAAGAAATCATCAACAGAAGACAATGATTGGAAAATGAAATTTAAACTCTGTTTGGTATTAAGGAATGGAATCACAAAGGTGATGGAATGAATAAGGTCATCACATTCCCTCATCATGTTTGGTTGGTTTAAAGGAATGGAATGAGTCATTCAAGCATGTTGTTTGATACATATAATCGGAGAACTAAACGAGATTATATTGATAAATAAGGAAAAAGAACAATATTCTATAAAAATTAATTAAAAAAAACTAATCAAATAAAAATATATCGCTAAATAAATTGTCTATCAACATATTTCATGTCATTTAAAATTGTATTATTTGTATTTCAAACAATCAAAAAAAAGTTCATTCATCTCTTTAAATAACTTTTTATAAAAATATAAATGCAAATTCAATTAGATACCATGAAATCTTAAGATAGAATTAAAGTAAAAATATTATTTGTTTTTGGAAAATGACGATAAATAAGTGAATTCGAGTTCAGAAATTTTACATAAACATTATTGTGATTGAATATATATATATATATATATATATATATAATAAAATAATTTATAACATATCATTCCATTTCATCAAGAAATTAAAAAGAAAAACACTCCTCCATATGAATGGATATAATCCTAGAAAAAGGAATCACGAATGATCCATTCCATTCCTATGAGACAAACAAACATGATTTTTTCATTCCGTTGTAATGCTCCATTCCATTCTTTCCTTGATTACTATATACCAAACACTACCTTAGAGTAAGTAAGTAGATGAATGTCAAACAAAGAAAGTGATGATAATTTCAACATCAAAGATGATATTAAAACACCATAATAACCTGATAGGAACACTAATAGAAGCTGATTTTACCTGTAGTCGATGATCCTCTCTAGAACAAGAACTGAATATATTGGTCAAACATTCCAACAGCATTGCCAAAAGATCCATTTCCTTAACAAGGCGTGGTGTCAGAGTAGGAACAGTGAAGATTTGAACAGAAAATGTCGGCAGTAGTGGATACTTTCTAAAAATAGAATCTTTACACTCTTTTACAGCTTCATTCACAACTGTGGGGTAATACCGTAAAAAAGCCTTTGCAAACTCATACTTGAAGAAAGGATCACTTAGTAATTTCAACAGTAACTCCTGAAGCTTCCGGACAACTTCAGTGCTTAAAAACCTCTCTGCCATTACAAGAACATCCAACAAACCAACCAAAGAGCATACCCTTCCAGAAACAAAACTGAGTAAACTTTCACTACACTTGCAAAATTCCAAAAGCATCCCTACCACCGCTGATGTCAGCTCATCTGCAACCTTTTTCTGTTCTGTAACATTATCATCAAGAGTGGGTCGATCACGATCTTGATGAATGCTCTCTGCAAATAGTAGTTTGTTCTTCCAGAAAACGAGAAGGGAATCAAGAACAGGAGATAAAGTATTTGCAACATCTTGTTGAAGTGGCTGTATCTGTTCAGCTCCTTTATGTTTAGAACAAAAGCCACTACGTTTCCATGCAGTCACATCCCCACAATCACAGCATCCACCACCTGTATATATGATGGAGTAATCATGGTCTTTGTGGTTACCATTTTGGAAACATGGGACACAAATTGCACAAGTGGGATCATGTTCACATGTTCTACAACGATATGCTATATCATTGTGACCCCAAACAGCCCCACAAACACCACGTTGACCAATATTCATGATTGCCAGGCGATGTAGGACTTCACTAGGATCACCATCAAACATCAACCACTGTAACCAGATCATACTTTCATGTAGTAAATCTTCAATCTTTGATCTAGCAGGAGGTTCTGACTGGACTTCCATGGCAGTTTCCATTTCAACATCAGTTGGTAGAACCGCAGAGACGATATCTGGTATTCGATGTTTGTTTTCTTTAACATATGAAACTAAGCCAGACTCCTGATGATCGAGTCTGTCTTCAGGAACTCCTATCAGGACAAGCCTCTGATACCAAAAAAAGAAAATATGTCAACATCGTGTTTTTAACTGACCTAAAATGGCAATTTTAAGTGACCTAAAACACTAGAAGAAAATGTCTGGTTTTTGGAAAATGATAAAAGATCTCAATTTAGTATGAGAAGAACTGATTATGACTTTTTACTAGTGAAAACGTAAACTTTCCCCCATTGAATATGAGGATCACTATACTCCTCTATTCCAGAATCAGTCAACTATGGGGGTAGCCGTTCAAATTTACTGTTCCTTAACTGAAAATTGTCAGCAAAACAGTGAGAATCAATTATATTAACCAAATTCCAAACTAATCTAAATGCGTACTGAAAGAAAAATCACAACAAATTTCCCATTTCCAGATACATTTCCAATCCATGATTGTCACTATCGAAAATGCCCAATTTCCGGTACAAATTCAGGGTTAAAGAATTTAAAGATAAAATACTACCTTGAGTATATGATCTTTTGGAGAAAGCGGAGGCGTGTTGGGTTCGGATGATGATGATGAATCAATCTCCATCCTGAACATGTATCGAAGAAGCCAATCGGCGCAATAACAGTTGCCGATTTCACAGCTTTGACGCCCCAGGGCTGAAGAAGCAGTATTGCATCAGAATCCTAATCCCCTCTGAGATTTTTATATCACTTTTATCTTGGAGTACAACTACAGGATATTAACCAACCCCCGTCTCCACTCGAGGCTCTCAAGAAAGAACCACGGTTCAAAGGACTAATTGCGTGCAGAATTCCCCTTTTTCCTATTTTACATACCAACGCTTTCTGCGGTTAAATCATGTCACCGCCATTACTTTTACCATTTTCCCAACTTACACCCTTCACTTTTCAACACTTGCCGCTTCTTGTCCCTTGTAATAGGTCGTTCCCTAACTAGACGATATCTTATTAGGTTGTTAGCTAACTAGGAGACGGATACAACTATTTCGCGAGCCAACCATTTAGTTCTCAAGGACGCCTAGACTATCAACCAAATGAAATTCACATTCAATGTATAGATGTGCACGCAACAAGAACTCTTTTCATTTCATCATACCATTCACAAATATCATGTTCAATGCATGATTAATTTGTTATATTAGAATATATTCAAAAAGCATAATATAGCTCAATACATATCGATGGAAGGCAAACGGGCAACAAGCTGCGCCGATAGCCCTTTCTGGATCGCAAAACTAATCCTTTTGAAAACAACATCTGTGGATCTAGGAGATATGACATTAGAGTGCATGACCCGTTGGACTCTGTTGAGGAGCTCCATCGCCTCTGGTGCGAGAAAACCAAATGTGTCAAATGCAAAAGGTACAAACACATGTTGATTTTCTATACATGCATTCTCGTGATTTGCCACTTTGCACGCAGCGGCTTTCAAAGCGGCATGCCCTGCTGTGAAACCCCCGCTCCTCAAACCGACGAGAGGAGAGACCCCAGTAAGATCCACACACGCGTGCTTCCCTCCTACCCATCCAAAGACCAAAATGTCATCCGGTCTAAGTGTGGATCTTCCATCCTGCGGGTCCGTCAAAAAGTTCACTGGCGCTTCTTTCTTCGCAGAAATACCAGCACGCCGACAAGCATCAAAGAGAACATCCCTAACCACATCATGTCTGTACTTGAAACCAGGGAGCTCTCTACAATGAACCGCATGTTCCCCAAAGGTATCCAAACATGCCTTGCGGCAAACTGGGCATATCTCATTAATTGGGAATAGAGGAATCATGAGGCGATAACGAAGGATAGATCGATACTCCACAGGAGACATATGCATGATGATATTCTATCATAAAGACCATCGGTAACATAAACATTTCATAAGGTGCTATTTAAATCATATACACATATCATTTCATGATAACATTTCATGCAAAAGAGAAATATAATCATATTGTATCATGTACCTCAAAGTAAGAAAATGCATATTTATTCCTGGAAGAATAGGTAGCAATATAGCCTCTAACTGATTTTTCAATGTCAATGTAATTCTTGCTTTATACTTAAACATTTATTTCCAAAAGTTTTTAATTCAGATAAGGATAATTTTTCATTTATAAGCAACCTACTTAGTTAGATATCTTGATTTTAATTTTACGTCGATTTATTTATACATAATTATCTATGGATTTACCCTATTTAATCTTATCATTCCCGATTAAAACCATAATATGTGTTACCCTATCTTTTGGATCTCCCAAGTATATGTATAAAAGGTGGTGTGTCATTATAATAATCCCATTAAAACGAATTTTGTAGCAATCAACAGTGTAATGTACGAGTTACTCTTATAAAATTGATTGGTCAAGTCTTTTTGGTGGACCAATTATTTTCAATTGGTTATTTATTAATGAGCTAAATATCATTTGGAAATTGCTTTATTTTTCGACTTTAAGTTAGTCGAATTTTCTAAAGTAATAGAAATGTTATTAAGCCATCTTATAGAGGGGATTTTGTAACATCCCTCGCTAGGTCTATTTGAAAACATAGTTAAAGAAAAACATTATAATATTCAAGTGTTTAATTTGAAAATAATTGCAGAAAATATAGCCTCGATATCTCAAAAACACATTAGTAAGTTTTTAAATAGAGAGGTTGTTAACAATAAAATATCACAACATGGTTCAAGCTCACCGCACATTCTGTGGCTTTCTTAAGGTCTAGGCGGCTAATCCCAAACTTAAGCTAGGGTCTTCAATATGAGCACACATCAAAATAAAGTTAGGCATGAAATTACCTAGTGAGTTCATCCGAGGTTGATTCATTTAAAGTAAGAATCCATTTTACTCGAATCAAATCTCCAAAACACTTTGGGATTTTATTAACCAAAAACAAGTTTGAAAGGGGTCTTATATGCCCTATAAGTTTTCACACACTCAAGAGCTAAGTATTTGTTGCAAATATTGATAAATCATTTCAAATTCACAAAAGGGATAATCAAGAATATTTCATGATGTATTTATGTAATGCATTCATTTATCCCACCCTCTTGCCAATTTCAATAGTCCATCACATAAATGGCAATGGACACTTGAGAGAAATCCCTTCACATTAATGGTAGAAATCTTACCATTAGGTGGAAATCCCACCTATATTTTTCATGACGGAAATCCCATCATACTAGGAACTAGGGTGCCATTATCTCAAGTGTCACACAAGGGGTAGCTAGCCCTCGTGTTTAAGTGGAGATTATCTATAAATCTAGTCACTATCACGCAAATATTATAGTCGTCATCGGGTCCACACAAGTCACTTCCCATCCTAACATGTATACAACAAGTATGATGCTAAAACTCTTTTTCTCAAAAATAAGCATTTAAGCTTTATATTTACAAAAGCATTTCAAAAAAAATATCATTTAATGAATGCACAAATAATCTACATTGCAATCAAGGTTCACATTATAATATCATATTATAAAAACCAAGCAAAACTCATCAAAATACAAAAGTACGGTATATTAATGTGTACTCCCGGTAAACACACCTCAAATCCTTGGTTTATGAAGTAACATCTTCAAACGAAAAGTCCTTCAAAAACCACATACAGTTAATGATGTGGCCATACTCATACAAATGTTTACGCCATTATCTTAATCTTTATGAGTAGTGTTGCAGAAATCGGCCTAATCGGCCATTTAATCGCTAATCGGACCTCCACCAATGAGATTTATTGTTAATCCGTCACTATAATCGGGCTTGGTCAATGCAGGTCAAAGTCGGAATTAATCGGACTTAATCGGACCAAATCGGGTTTTGTCAATGCAGGTCAAAGTCGGACCTAATCGTCGATTAATCGCTTATTTTGGAGGATTAAAGTTAGATTCATAAAATTTTGAATAATTTTCTTAAGAGTTAATGGTCCCCGATTAATCTCCGCCTAACTAATCAATCCCTAATGGCTGCTCCACCGATTAGCGGCCGATTAGTGATGCCTGAAACCATGTTTATGAGCTTAAATGATAATGCTTTGAATTTGATAAATATACGAAAAATCATAGTTGATCAACAAAAGGAAAATATTAGGACACGAATGGAGTTGATAAGGCTAAAAAGTCAAAAACTAAAAGGCTTGTCACGCCAACCTCATACACACGTTATGCTCCGGCTGAAGAGTTCGAGTACATCACGGAAACTTTCTAGCTTGTGATGCAACAAATACCAGAGTCGCGACGTGTATCCATATTCTCTCTCTCTCTTTCTCTCTCTCTCTCTCTCTTTATATATATATATATATATATATATATATATATATATATGCGATTTTTCAACCTTTATAGAGAGAGGTATCAATCCCAACCTGTTCCAAAAATAAAATATGAAGTTTAGAAGACCAAAATGCATTTTGAAGCTGAAGGACACATTCAAAGTTTATGTTTGAAGATCAAAGCGTGGATTCAACTTTTATTCAATCAGTTAAATTTTTAAAAAAAATGTCAAACAACACCAACATGTTTATTTGTTGTTTCCTACTTTCGATTATGCGCTAATCACCCTATATTTCTGCTTAGATTGATGAACCCCTAATACTATGGTTCGATTTTTCTAGTTTGAATTTATTTAGTTTAGTATTTATTATGTTTGTTTGATCGTAAATCATTATGTGTTAAAGTTCCGATTTTTATTACTTTTTGCTAAGTTTATATGATTTAGAGGACCAATCTAATTATATGAGCTTGAATATTAACTAATTTATAACAATAAATTGTTAGGACTATAGATAGATGAAATCCTAGGGTTAAGTAATATAATCGTGAATTTAAACCTGCAATGAGCTAATTAATTATCATGAACATAGTTAGATAGATCAACTCTCTCATAATTCAAAACTATAATTGATTATTTATATAGTTGATTACATGATCATTGTGTTAACTGTTTTTATAAATAATAGCATTAGTTAGTTGGACCAAGACAACTAATTGCATTATAAATCAGTACTTGCAAACATAGATTCATTGCACTACTAGGAAATCAACCATAGAAAAATGGGGGATTCGTAATCTGAGTAGAAGTACTTCAAATCAATTGTTTTAAACTCGTTATTTGTGTCGTTTGCTATTTAATTAGTTAAATTAATAATTTAACAAAAAACCCCAATTTACTTTTATGTATGTAGTTTAATTAATAGTTTATTATATTATATGTTCTCAAATCAACCTATGATGTATGAGTTGCTATGTTGACCATATATAGTCGGGGCTTAGGGTCGATGTTTTTCGAATATTTTTGGATTAAAACATGTAGCATGTAGATCTTAAGTCTTAAAACTAGCTAACTTGCCTATAAACCTCATTTGAGCTTAGAAACCTTTTAAATTGTCTAGAAACTTCTATTTAACTTCATGACGATTTCATCACCAAATAAAGACAATCAAGGTAACAAACTGTATCCTTTCAAATTATTGGAATTTTATGAAGGTTCATATGAACCCTAATTCAAAAATATATACTTACATTGTAACGTCCCATTTTCCCAACCAAAATTTTTCATTTTTATTAAGGTAAAACTTCCCAATTTATTAAACCATTCTTTAAGAAAACCATTTATTCCAATTTACATTTATTAAAATCAGAGTATTGTACAAAACACGGAATCTTCAATGTTGTTGATGAGTGTGTACAGTCCCGCCTTCGCCTTCTCGCAATCATCGATGATACCTAAAACCATAAACAATTGGGTAAGCATAAAGCTTAATGAGTTTCCCTCAAAATACCACCACACAAATGGATAACATATACAATCAAACATGTCGGGTCCAATCAACCATCGGGTTGGAATACCCTAGGCCCAGTCAACCTCCGGGTCCAGTCATCCTCGGGATGGAATACCCCAGACTGGGATGCCAATATACAATGAGTCCAATCAGCCATCGGGCTGGAATACCCAAAGTTTGTTGGCCTACCGCCTCAACCCTACCGCTCTTCCCGAGCCTCCGTACCTACGGTTTACAGTCGGCTCGCACCGGGTATCTTGGCCTACAGCATAAAGCAGGAGCGCCTCAACCTAAACCACACACACATGTCGACATATAAACAATCAGGATCAAGTAGGCACATAATACACGCAATAGCAATCATACAGGTCACTACCGCCTACTAGTCCTCTCACAGTATACAGTCCTACTACCAGCTAACCTCCATAGAATGTGTAACCATAAGTAACCAGAGGTGAGATAGCCACCCGAACAGATGATCCTACTCTAGAGCTACAACCAAACAAGGAACAAGAAAGAGAGCCTAGACCAAGAGTTCTCATGCTATCCTACATGACCACATACAATCCCTAAGGGCACTCCATAGATGATAACCAGCAAGCACAGATAACATAAAATTCTACAGATTATTACAGCAAGGCAACATACTCAATACCTGGAGATAGATCTAACAGATCACTACAACATAGCAGCATACTCGATACCAAAACACAGATATAATAGATCACTACAGCGTAGCAGCATACTTGATACCAGAACATAGATCTAACAGATCACTACAGCATAGCAGCATACTCGATACCAGAACATAGATCTAACAGATCACTACAGCATAGCAGCATACTCGATACCAGAACACAAATCTAACAGATCACTACAACATAGCAACATACTCGATACCATAACACAGATCTAACATATCACTATAACATAGCAACATACTCGATACCAGAATACAGATCTAACAGATCACTACAGCATAGCAACATGCTAAATATCAATAATCCAAGGAATGCATGACCGTATATACTCGGAGGTGAGATAGTCACCCGGACAGGTGATCTTACTCTAAAACCACAACCAAACAAGGAACAGGTAAGAGAGCTTAGATCAAGAGTCATCAGTCTATCCTACATGACTACATACAATCCTTATGGCATCCATCTACTAACAGATAACCAAAACTAGTGGGTCGGCATTGGTTCCTTCGACCAACGGGTAAAGTGAGGCAAAACTCACCTCAATATGCACGTAGGTAACCACCATAGTAACGAAGAACTCTACCAGCTTCAACTCACTTCCAAACACCTACTCGAGTCAATACCCGATCACAGGTCATAGTCACTTGCAACAGTGATTACCTCACATGAAACGACGATTAAGGTTTCACATAAAATGACGATTAGGGTTAAGTAAGAACACTTAACCCATTAAGGACTTAATCACCTAAGGGTAGGGCTAATTAAGGTTTAACTTAGTCATTCTCGGGTGTAATAATAATCCAATCAATAGCCCAAATACGCTCCCGATCATTGTCCAAAATAAAGCTTCTCGATTCTAGGGTTTTCCACATAAAATTATAACTAGGGTTAGTGTTCCACACTTAACCCCTTAAGGACTTAATACATTAAGTCGAATATTGCATTAAGTTAATTGTAGGGCATTATTAAGTATTATTTAAAGCTCAATTAACAGTTTTAACGTGGGTCCCGTCAAAACTCCAAAACTAGGGTTTTCTAAACCCTAATTAGGGTTTCCAACCCCAAACTCGTGCCACTCGGACAAAAGTTAGATGTTTAGGTAATTAAATATTTAATAAATCGAGCACCACCCACTGCCACCTCGGGCAGTGGTGATCGGCGGCGGTTCATGGCGGCAGGAGGCAACAACCACCATTTTAATGGCGGGAGTCTTTAATTTTTAGGTCCAAACACCATCCAAAGCTTCTCGGTTTACACGTAATGTTAATCCAACACCCACACACGCACACAACCACCCGAGATGGCGGTTGGTGGTGGTAGAACGGCGACAACCACCATGGTCGGTTGCCATGGTGGATGCCTCTTCGATTTCCGGCCAACAAACACACACACACGTGACATCGACAGAAACACGCTCACACACACATTTGAAACACCCATAAACGCAGCTGCAACCTCACTGTCGTAGGAGGACGGCGGGCGGAGGGACGACGAAAGGGCAGTGGTGGCGCTTGACGACGCAACCAAAAGGCGATACCGCCAGCGTGACGGACAACGAATCAGAGGAAGGAAGGATGTGCGACCGAGAACGACAACAACATCAGCCACGACGTCGGCCTTCAACGGTCATTGGCTTCGTCGGTAGCAGGAGCAGCGACGGGTCACTTCGGTGGTTCAAGGCGGCGACTGGAAGTGAGGGGTGATAAGGGTGGCGGCTGCAACTTGATTTTAGGGTTAGGGTTTGAGGTTGTTTTGTATTTATTTAGTGTTTCTCTATGGTTTCGGATTGTAACACTCATTCGGTTTGTAATATATTGTTAAATGAAAAGTGAAAATTGGAGTGGATTATGTTGGACATCAACATCATAGCAAATGATGTCATTTGATTGCATATTCTCATTGTTAAAAGTCGGGGTGTTAAAGTTTAAAAAAATCAATAGCAGTTTTTAGTAACAATGGTTTTAGTTTATCTTGTGAATAATGTAAGGTGGCGTTTGGTTCGCAGAATGTTTTTGAAGGAATTGGAATTTGTTAAGGAATTGGAATTTGTCAGGAATTGCAATCCAATTCCATATTCTGTTTGGTTGACGGGAATGAAATTTGAATCCAATTCCATATTATGTTTAGTTGGCAGAAAATGGAATTGAAATAACATAAAATGACAAAAATGCCCTTTTTTTGCTTATTTTTTACTTTGTTTTATAACTTATAAGTAAAAATATATGATATAAAATAAAATTAGTAAATGATGGTGATGGTGATGGTGGCAGTGATGTTGACGGTGGCAATAGTGGTGATGGTGGGTAGTGGTGGAGGTGATGACAGTGGTGGTGGTAGTAATTGTGATGGTGGTGGCCATGAGTAGTGGCGGAGGTGGTGGGTGGTGTAGTAGTGGATGTGGCAATGGTGGTAGTAACAGTGGTGGTGATGAAGGTGGTGGCAAAGGTGTTGGTGGTGGTGGCGGAGGTGATGGCGGTGATGGTGGCAGTGATGGTATGGTCGCGATGGTGAGTGGTGGTGGAGGTGGAAGGTAGTGTGGTGGTATAGGTAGTGATGGTGGTGGTGGTGGGTGGTTGTGGCGGTGGTGGGTGGTGGTACAGGTGGTATGTAGCGGTTGGTGACAGCAGTGATGTGTGGTGGTGGAGGTGGTGATAGCGATGGCAGTGGTGGAGGTGACGGTGCTAGTGGGTGGAGGGTAGTGGTAGCAGAGGTACCGGTGGTGGTGATGGTGATGGTGGGTGGCAGTGGAGGTGGTGGTGGGTGGTGGTGGAGGGGTGGTGATGGTGATGGTAATGGTGGCGACATAGGGGTTTCATATGTAGTGTTAGAAGTTTAATGGGTAATATGGTAACATTCAATATTCTCACTTGAAAGGAATTTTAATTCCTTAAGTTTTTGGATGGAATTTATTTTCCCTCCTTGGAAGGAAAATTTGACTCATTTAGGAACCCAATTCCTTTTGAAAGCTTGAACCAAACAAAGGAAAATGATGGAATTAGATTCCAATTCCTTCTAATTCCAACGGATTCCAGCGAACCAAACGACACGTAAGTGTTTGTTAAAACTAATAATTACTAAATGATAATAAATATATTTATTGTTAAATTTATCAATACATGTTATATTTTTTTTAGATAAGAAATATAAATACATACATAAAAAAAATAAAAGGAATGCACGGTTGTGTGATAGTGTCGACTAACTAATGAATTGAAGGAGATGCAAAAACTATCTAAATTAATCCTGTTATATTAAAACGGACTGCCTATCGTAGCCTTATTCTAAAAAATGTAACAGATTAAATTTCGTACGTATCATCACTTTTTCAAAATGTATTCCGACTTTTCTGAAACATGTCCGATGATACTTGATAAGACACCCAAATTTTGCTTAGGTCATATAACACGAGTTTCACTCAAACTTCACATAGTGACAAATACAACAAACTTTAATCACTTCCAAAAACGTAATGCATGCATTCAATGTTTTTTTGAACCAAATCATGTTTAAACATTTAACAATAAAATTAATTAAATGGACCAATAAGGTAACAGATCAAAGAATGTAAAACCTTATACTATTAGATTTGGTATATATTTTCTGGTAAATTATGATTATTTAAGAAAGCCAAATATCTATGTAGTAAAATTAAAGTTTGAACGATTTTTGACCCATTTCGTCTCTCCTTTCCAACAATTTTTCATTCGCCTCCCTAAAGATAAAACATAATTAAAATCAACATACACTTTACAAGCAAATGATGGAAAATTATATATACCATTCCATTATGCCTAAAATAGCTCTTGAAATTGGCATTTGCAAATATAAAAACCGAGCTAAGATAACATCCTCATACGCACCATTATAGTCATACAATTGCATATAAAACTCTCTAAAACAAGTCACTACTCACCAAAACAGCATGAAACACACAACTCTCTCTTGATGTTTCACAAACTTCTAGCTACTCTCTCATATAAGTCCCGTGGCCAGTTTCGATTCAAATTATTCGCAAGGAAATTTGCAATCTGCACAACCCAAATAATTACTGACCTTGATCCATAATGTAAAAAATAGCAATGCGCTTTCATATATTAATGTGCTATAGCATATCCTACTTTCATTTTTTTTGTAAGTATTACAATTTACAGCATTGTAATATCATTTAATTTCTTCCTATTCTACTTACGCTTTTGATCCATCCACTTAAAATGAGGGGTATAAAAGTCAAAACACCTTTTTTTAAGTGGATGAATTAAAAACGTAAGTGGAGAAAAATAAAGAATACTCCCTCCATCCCAAAAATTGCAATATTTGTATTTTGTGTGAACATTAAAAAAAAATGCAAATTTTATGTTTATGGAAAAGCATACTTTGCAAATTTACGTATTTGCCCATATCATTACAAGATGTCAGTATAACAACATACCTTGATCCTCAAGGCACGAAGTGAGCCATCCGAGTCTCTGACATTGTCTATAGACTGAAGGGAGACCTTAAGAAGGTCTGGAATACAAGCTTGAACATGAGGGGACAAATTTTTGGAAAGTATCTGTTGCTGCTGTATCAGATGCCCTAGGATCAAATGGAAGAAATGGAAGCTTGGAAATCTCCCTTAAAGCATCTAGATGTTGTTCTTGCCTTGCCAATTTTATGAATAGCCAAAATGTTCTCAAGTTGTCTTAACACAGTTTCTTGCTCTAAAACAAGTTCTCTTTCTTGTAGACTGCATGCACAACGATATAAATGGTAGTAAGTGGATAAATTGGGATTGAGGATTTTTGATTAATTAGAAATTTTGAAATGGGAATTGTTTAAATGATTTCTCACCTGACATTCGGAAAGTATTTAAATGTCTCCAGCAGCTCATTTCCAGAATGAACAAGTCCAGCTGTTCGGCTCTCTCCATCGAGTCTACCACGTGATAAAGAACAAATAGCTTCAGACAGACTTTTGTTTATGGTATCCAGTGCTGCTGAAAACGCCCCAATTCTCTTTTGAATTTCTATAGACTGAAATCGAGATAAATGATTGGCAAAAATAAATAAACTAGTAAAACTTGGTTACTATATCATACAATACGCAACTTGTGAAAAAAAAGAGTATATAAGAGAAGAGAATGAAAGTCTACCTTGTCATTAAGCCCAGCTTCCAGACACCTGCGAGCAGCTTCAAACAAAAACTGGTACCTCTCTTTCCCATCAACCAAAAACCTCCTTAACTCACCTTCTTCTCCCGCCCCTCTTGCCCCAAGCAACAAAAGTATCCCACCATCACGCAACAGCAACTCCATCAACAACTGCTGCATCATCAAACTACGTTGCCTTTGTTGATCCACATTCCCTCTCCCAGACCAAGACATCTTCCCACCACCAACAGCAGCAGCAGCCTGCGCGTAATACTCCAACGCCATCGAAAGATTGTTATGCCGTAGATACAACGAACCATATTGTCTAATTATACTCGCTGACTCAGCAAAACCATCCATCACACCTAACTTATGACCTGTCGTCCCAGTGACATCAGCGAGAACACCGTGGTCTGCTAACACAATTGCTATATGAGTAGCATCGATGTTGTACCCATCGTCTCCGATATCTTTAGACAGATATAAAACAGCTGGAAGCAACTGTATGCTTAGAAGCAAGACATACGGATACACCAACGGGTCTTTCCCGTTTTTTGTGTAGTAAGATGGTTCGAATTTGTTTAAGTAGGCTTGTAGATCGTGTAAGGTGTAAGGTGATAAGCCTTCGTTTGAATTGGTGGGGGAGTCTCGAACAGCACAGAGTTTGAACCAGAGGAAATCTTCTATGGTGTTGAAAAGTGTGGGGTGTTCTCTCAGTAGGCGATCGATTTGTCTGCGGGACCCGGATATGAGCGCGTAGAGAAGTAGTTTTTTTTTGTCAAATGTTCCTCGGCCTGCTCGATCGCCCATACGCAACATTTTTTCACATTCTTCTGCAGCAATGGAAGCGGTTTCCACTGATACCATGCCTCCGTTTGAGATCCATTCTGTAAGCTGTTTTGTTAAAAAAGAATGAGATGAGTAAGGACTTAAGGTGCTGTTTCTTTTTGACTTAATGAATTTAATAGGGACAGAATTTAATCTGGACGGGTATATAGTGGTGTTTCTTTTGACTTGATACAAACCGATGGGCTTAATGGGTTAAGTAAGAGGAGGGTGTCTTTATTCTTTACCTCTTAAGATCTCATTTTTTACGTTCATAACCTAAAACGAAAATCTCTTCTTTCTGCATTTCTTTTAAAATTATTATCTATCTTGTTATTGAAAAATAATTAATGAAAACAAGCTCTATGGATTTAAAATTATTGTTGACAACATTATGTAGTATGAAATAAAGATGAAAAACGAAAGGAAAAAACAGTTATTCATCTACTGTAATAATATCAGAAAGATTCCAACTACACATTTGATCTCATTCATATCAAAATGATAAATTCGATCGAAAATAACATGTAACACAAGTAAATTTCTATTATTCATATTTGGTTGTAAGCTCTCTAAATACGATTATTAGAACACTAATCCTTTGAATTTGAGCATATTCCATTGTGGATGATTTTGGTTATTTTTCACTAAACTGAAAACTATTAATGTGAATGTAAAACTTAATGTGAACATTTTTTACTAACTTTTTATCATAGTTATATACAACTTCCACTTATATCTATCAAATATTCAGTCAGTTATCATTCAGAATCACTTCTAGATAGAAGGGTAAAATGGTCATTTTCCATATTCAGGACAGCAAAGTTCATTTTCATTCAAAACAAAGATACACCATGAGATCAATACCTGTGATGCAAAATGGTGAGAAACACGGGAGCTTGAAGCAACCTTTTGTGCATCATCGTAGTACCCAGTTCTCAAGCAGAAATAGATCTGTTTAAGAAAGAATAGAACTAAGTTGTAGTTACATTTACAAAAAAAAAAAAAAAAAAAAAAAAAAATTTAAGTAAAGGATGATACACATGACTGGAATAGAAATCAAGAGTTGAATACCTGCTGCCATGTGGTATCAACAGGAGGCTGTCTACGAGCATCGCCTGCATCAAAATCAAGAACCCCGTAGTCTCTCAACCGGATCTGGAAGAAGAAAGAAATAAGTTTGTAAGGTGCAAACATGAGAGGGTAATATGGTAATTTAAAGTAAGAAGTGATCACAAACCCTAAGAAAAGCATGGATCTTTGGCAAATTTCCAACCACTCCACCAAGAGCAGCCTACAGTAAGATAAACAGAAAACCATAAGATCACACTTTGTGATAAAAACATAACTGCATAGTGGATGACAGCAAGAAAACAAACATAAATAGTATCTTTTATTACCTGTGCTGGATGACTGTGTATCATTTCCATGATATATTTATCATGCCCCCACTCCAGGTGGCGCCTTGCACCAATTATTAGTGACATTTTCTTTGAAAGATTTCTTTGGACACTTGAATTCTCACCAGTCAAAGTCTGTGAATTATATAAGATGATGATTGCATTACATTCTCTGTAAAAAAGATTATTGCAATTACAACTCATATGAACAAGATTACATAGTAGGCATGTGTACCTGAATTAGATGCCAGATCTTGTTCATGGTAACTGATTTACCACCAGAAGAATCCAGGCCAAGATTGTCATATGCATTCTTAAAAGCAGTAGCTGGCTGACAAATGGAACAAAATACACATATTAATAAATAAATCAAGTAATAAAAGTATGATAAGTTGTGTTGATGGACTTACTTTATATTCTAAACTACGCTGTCTTGCATCATTGAGATTTCTCACAACCTCAGCATATGCAGCAGCCTTTTTATCAGCTATTGCCAAAACCTCCATGTTAGAAGGACCAGATGAAATGTGAGGACTAGAAGTTAGAGATAATATTGGCCCTGATCGGTTAGCCCCAATGCTTGAATCAGTTACATTGGTCCTTGGTAAACTGGAGATGCGGCTCAGGCTGTGAAGAAAGTCCCTTTTTTCCTTTTGCCAGTCATCCTGACAGATAGAAAAAGAAGCCATTTAGTATTAAACAAGGGGTAAAAGGGTAATTTACTAGATATCAAAATACAGAAGTGAAGTGTAACTTTGACTTTGTGTAGCAACTAACCTCTAACACTGTCATCATGTAGTCACTAAAGTTTCTGAGATTATCTTTCTGAGCTTCCTGAACAGCAGAAACCATTGCCATTTCACGAACCTGAGATTATGAAAATGTAACATAAAGATCATGAATATATATATATAACCACGTGAGCCAAAAAAAAAAAGGTTACTGAATACTGATAGCATAACAACATTCACATAGAACATTCTGACATAATAATTTATACATAACTAACAATCATGAAAGAAAAAATCAGCATGAAAAAACTCTAAGACAGTAGCACAACATAATCATGTTGAGAAAACTTTAACATACAAATGCACACATGAGAAAATAAAGGCATGGATTATTTTATTCTCTGTTGACTATTGCCCTCTTGCAAAACAGTTAAAAGAAGACACAAGTGCACAAACAGATACTCATATGCAACAACAAATAATCAGCATAGACACTCATGCAACAGCTAATATTCCTCATAACGTTATACAAAAAAGGACCAAGATTGTATAGGTCAATTCTTTAAGAAAAAATATGTAATTCAATAGCAATAAGTTGCAGTAAGTACCTGCTGCAAGTATTCCTCAACGCTTGTAGCCTCGGCAGGGAAAACATCCTCAAAAGTTGTCTACAAAGAAAGTAACAAGATCTAACTCAGGAAAAATAAGTGATTGATATGAATATCACAACCAGATGGAGATCTCAAAATCTCAAAAGTCACAATCAAGCATTTAAAAACTAAAGAATATAGAAAATCTAATACAATGCTCAGACTGGAAAATCCGAAATGAATGTGGGAAAGTGTAATTTGAACTAAATGTTAATTTTAAGCAAGAAACAAAATTCACCACCCTTGAGGTCTAGAACATTTTTAACTTGATATCATTCATCATGAACACAGTGGAGAGACAATGCTGAAATAGAGCAGTAGTGACTACTGAACTACATCATAAGACATTTAGACATGTCTACTTTCTAAGATAAGATTCATTGCTTATCATGTACAAGGGGCCACCACAATGCTTCTTAGTGTTACAACATCGATTAAAGGAAGATCTTATGCACAACATTCCACATGCACTTATTGCAGAGTGACTGTTATTGTGTACTTACTTACCTTGTGAAACACACTAAGCATATGATTGTATCATACATGATCAATCAGACTAATTTAGCCTGACATGAATCAAAGAAATAGCCGATACCTTCAATTCAAATGACTTAAGATCCCGTGCCAGTTGCTCAGCATTTATCCCCTCACGTGCAAGTAGCCTGCACAATATTTAACAAGCTACATATTTTAGGCACTGCTTATAAGATGCTTGTATTCTGAACATCATGTAGCAATAGTAAACTTCAGTGCACTAATAAGAACAGACAAATCCAGGATCAGCCTAGAAATCAGGACCAATAAACATAAGATCGATATTATAGCTTCAGAGTTTTCTATTGCATAGAGAAGATGCATATAAATTATGATTTTTCAAATCTAAATGACACAAACAATTGAATAGCATGGAGAAATCACAGATAAATTACGATCTTTCAAATCTAAAACAGCTACGGATGCACTCTTGTCTGAGTTTGGGTGAAACTTGTATTCCTTTTCGAGTTAGTCTTTCTATTCAAATTATCCTCGTTAAAAACACTCTAATCTACGTCCACGGATATAGAAATTAAAACCCATAGTAACAAAGTATGTAGCAGTATAAATATAGAAAAATGTACACACGAATTTAACGCAATCACCAGAATCTACCTTGTAGCTGCAATCGATTGAGAGGGAGCCTCGGTTCTGAGCGTTTTCGACTTGAGCTTCTTTGACAATGCTTCTAATTGATCCAAATTTCTCTGCAGATACAAAAACAAAAATAGGCACGCAGAGGGAAAAAAAATATGCACTGTAAGAAATGAGAAATAACTTGCGCCACAAAAATCGAACCTGGAGAGGAGGAAACTGAGCAGAAGGAGCAGCTTGCTCGACGAGCTTCGAAGATGAATGTAGAAGATCCGTCCAGCTACTCATATCTGCGTCGCTCGTCATTGTTGGAAGGTTGATGTTGTGAGGAAGAAAAAGCTTGTATGAAGCGATGCGCCGAAGGGAGGAAGCCAAAATTTTCTTTTGGGGTTTTGGAGCTCAAAACGCAAGAGCCCTAACGAAAAAAATAATAATAATAAAGCCGCAGAAAAGCGTTATTTCAAGTATTATTATTCAAAAAGGATTAAAACCATATGCTAACGCCATAAAAGCCCTTTAAGTTTTTATAAAATGTTCTGTTTTACCTATGGAGTTTTTGGGTTCATCAAAGTTTGAGTTTTTGCATTTTTATCCTTTTTTACCAAGTTACTTAGTTACTCATCAGATGTATGTCTATACATAGGTGAACACTCAACACTCAACACTGATAGGTAGAAGTGAGCACGGTGTGGTTTTTAGACCAAACCGAACCGCAAACCGTAAGTTCCGGTTATTTATATTTAAAAACCCAAATTTACAGTTTATATTCGGTGCATTTTGCAGATATTTTGGTGTGGTTTCGGTTTTTAACAAAAAAATGATCAGGTGAGGTTTTTAATAAAAAAATAAAATAAAACAAAAAATTTTGTTCACTTTCATTTAAAATATGAAAGTTAAGCAGAATTTTGTTGCAAACAGCCAAACAATACTACTCGGTACTCAAAATTCACATACACAAAGTCATAAACAATCGAGCAATAGTAAAAAACTTAAACACTCTGTATACATACTTGATAATTAACAAGAATGAAATGATTTTCAAGATTATGCTCCCCTCCAACTGCCTCTGTAAGACTCGGTACAAAATCAAACTACTAAAACAGACTATGTAATGCAAAATTAAACTACACAAACAACCGAATTTTTGTTGGGAAAGTGCATGAAAAGAAATCAGCATAACATGTGTATACATTGGAAAAGAACGAAAGAGGAATTATATCGAAAACAGTAGAAGAATGGTCAGTGATTGCAGTGGTATACCTTGAGACGAAATCGGAGCATGGAGGTCGTTGGAGTTAAATGTAGGTCGACGGTGCTTCTGGGAGGAGAGGAACGACGGTAGACGTCGGACGGAGGCTATGGCACGCAGCCACAAAGATCAAGTGAAATAAAGGATTTTGATTTTTGCGTTGTGTCTCTAATCCTATGTATCCTGCTTATGTGAAAAGGGTTTTTGAAAAAATTACATTTTTATTAAATAAATGTTATATAAAGTATAAATTCAATTTAGACTTATATAATAAATAAATATTATGGTTATTTTGTTTTTTTGGTGCGATTATACTGATTAAAATTGAACAGCCTATAATTTGTTTTTTTTTAAATTTAAAATTGCATCATTGGTTTTATGTTCGCTTTTTGCTCACCCTTACTTATTTGCCCATTCGGTTGACATGGCACTGACTCAGGTCCGTCCCAGAAGATTAGCGCTAGGGGCGAACGTCTAGAACCCATCTTTTAAAAAACCCAAATTTTTTATGGATTATATATATATATATATATATATATATATATATATATATATATATAATTTCTTTCAATTATGAGTTGTTATAAAACCTTATGAAATTTGTGTATTTTAAGAGTTTTTTTCCCTATCGTCTCGGGTCCACAATATGTTTGGAACGACCTTGCGCTACTAGGCACTGAGATCTTTTGCTTAATTAAAAACGTCTGACTAGGGAGAATAACAAAGGCAGCGGAATTCGAAAACTAGACCTCCAACACCCAATCCACCCAACTTATTATTAGGCTAAACTTCTTTTATGTAAATAATTCAGTTTTTTAAAAAATATTTCATAATATCTATATTACTATTGTTATTATTACTTTGATTATTATTATTATTATTATTATTATTATTATTATTATTATTAGCATAATAAAGTATTTGGATTTATTGTATTTGGGATTTTATTTAGCCTTTTAGCTAGTATACCCTTAAATAGTTTTTTCTATTTATTGGTATTTCTTTTTATTTGTAATCAACTTTTCCCTTCAATAGTTCAATTATAAACTACAGTCGTATTCCCTTTTTTGTTTTCAGTTTACAAAAAGATAAGCATGTATGTGGCAATTGTTTGGATTTGTTCTTCCTGTACTTTAAGAACTACTTTGCTGCTAAGGATCCGACTGATTTCGTTTGCTTTTTTTAATCATTGAGATGGACCAGACGTTTCTTGTCAGTCGTCCCCTTTATAGTTCAAGCAAATAATATGTACAAATCACTTCTTTTTTAAATGAGTATTTTACTCATTTATTATTTATAGTTAAAGCAAATAATATGTTAAATATTTAGAGCAAACAACGTGAAAGTCTATTGTATGATAACTAATGCCTATTAATACCTTTTAAAGCTTTTAAACAATGACATTAACTAGTACATGGCCAGTTATCTTTTTAGCTATTTAATCATGATATACGGAAAAATGTTTTATTATGTCATTTTCGTGGGATCTTAGGATTTCAATCCTTGTAACGCTCAGATTTTCATACTAGGTGCACCCATAAAAAATATTTTGTAACATTCGGAAAATTCTTGAAAATTTTAAACTTTTTAAATAACCACAAAACCATCATTTATTACAATTTGTTTTTAAAATAAGTTTCACATCAGAGTTTTTCCATAAATCATAACACAAAACACGAGGAGGTGCACAATCAAGCCTTCACCTTCCCACGATCATCTGAGGTACCTGAAACATAATTCAAAATTGTAAGCCCAAATTTTAATGAGTCTTCCCCAAAATACCACCACAATACATAATCATAACTATCACACAACAGCATGCATACAGAACCTTCAGCATGTCTGGACCGCCACACCGGGCCTTCAGCCTGTCTGAACCGTTCTTCGGGCCTTCAGACTGACTGGTCCACCTCGCGGGCCTTCGGTCTATCTGGGCCGCCATGGGTCTGTTGGCCTTCAGCACAAAGCAGGACCGCCTCAACCCAACCACACACATGTCGACATATACATAACTCATAAACATATAATCAGTCAACAGACAAGCACAGATCATACAGATCAATAAGCATAGCGTCATCCTATCTACCAGGATTCAGATCTAACAGGTCACTACAATACTCAATCACACGGTAATCAGGATAACAATCCAAAGGGTCGGCCTTGGTGCCTTCGACCCGTAAGTACAGTGAAGAAAACTCACCTCACAAGTAGTGCAGAACTGATAAGATCTGACTCCGAATCTCAGCTCCCGACTCAAATCCTACAACCATCATGACCAATCCCATCAAAATCCCAAAATACCCATAATTCCCTCAAAAGTCCAACTTGGTCAACCATGGTCAAAGTCAAAGTCAATGGTCAAGGTCAACTGTCCATGTTGACCCAACTCGTCGAGTGCACCTCTGAACTCGTCAAGTTTCCACAGTACTCAGAAAGATCGGGAAAACCCTAGCCAACTCGTCGAGTTGGTTGGACAACTCGCCGAGTTTTCCCCAGCTCAACACATACATCTGATTCTTTGATTTCAGGGACTCTAATGCTCAAATCTAAACTCTGAATGTGTCTAAAAGGATAAAGGCTTAACCATTAAGTACAAAATCCTTGAGATCTGGAACCCAACTTTTCCAAAAGAGATTCTAGCCTAAAAAACGTCCCAAAGGTTTGTGCTTTATAGACATGCATGTCCAATGCATGTCTTGAACCCAAAATGGGTCTAAAAGGGAAAATATGACCTAAACTCCATGCATGGCATCAAAGCTTGTCTAAAGACCAGATCTAACCTACTATAAGGTCACCTTGACCTAGAGATTCATAAAGTTGCAACCTTTATGAAGTCCATCCATTGCAACATCCAAGAATAAGGAGAAAAAGGGACAAAACTCAAGATCTAGCTACATAGATAGATAAAAACCGGATCTTGAACACTTACAAAGGTCCAAAAGAGTGACAAACTGAAGATGAGAGTTTAGCTTGCAAGATCCTTGCTTCCTTCTTCCAACTTCTTCTCCTTTTGCCCAAAAAGTGATATGTTTTATACAAACAATCCTATGTGTGCATGCAACCCTAATTGGATCTATGTTTTCACTATTAGACATACAACTTTATGAACACAAAAAGAAACCTGGAATGCTCCTCTAATTTTCGAAATCCACATAGGAGAATAGAATACATACCTTTTGTTGTTATATAGCAATAACAACTAGTTCCTTGAATTTCCTTAGCTCTTGTAAGCAAGTACCACAAGTGTAGTACCTCTAATGGCTCACAAACACACTAGGTGAAAGGATGAATATGGGAGAGGGGAGAGAAGGGTATCTTGCCCTAAAATTCGTCCCTTTTAGGGTTTCCCAAGGGTTGGACGAATTCTAGTGCCTTAGGGTGCTATTTATACTGGAGGCTAGCTAGGGTTTCAAGGTGGAAACCCTAATCCCTTAGCTTAGGGCCTAAGCAAGTCCATGGACTCCTTTCCTTAAGCCCTTGGACGAAAACTCTTAGATCCTTCTAGGATTTTCGTTCAAGCCTTAATAAAGGTGATCCAATAGCCCAAAGTCTCAACTATCAAATAATTACAAAACAGCCCTTGTACTTTTAATTAATTCCTTTAATCCCAAAATTAATTCCTAATTAATTTCTGATTAAATACTAATTAATAATATGATTCCAAATTAATATATTATTCATATAATATAATAAATAAATCATATTTATGCCCTAATCAACCTCTCTCCTCAACTGTCATCCTGTCTAGTCACCCGTGTGAAGGCAACCCAAAAGGACCATGCTCACAATCGGGTCAAGTACATACCAAAATAGTTATGGACTTAGACACTAATCCAACAAAAAGAACCACACTAAAACACAAAATGAGAGGGAAGGGTGATTAGGGTTTACTAGGGCCGCAAAAAGGGTTTGGAGGCTGATAAAGGATCAACCCTAGGGACTTAAGGGAATTAAATAGGGTGCAAAACCCTAAAATTTAGGGTTTCATAATCAGCCGCCAACTCGTCTAGTTTTTCTCTACAACTCATCGAGTTGGTCCAAAAAGAGGCGCGACCCAAAAGCCTTTCAACACGTCGAGTTGAGGCCATCAACTCGTCGAGTTCGAAGGGAAACTTGTCTTTTGAATAATAAATCTCATACATGGAAATCGGGATGTTACAA